CCAGGTAGCCAATGCTCCTTAAAGATTACAGTTGGTGCCTATCTTTTTAGGTTTTCTCTACAGTAGTTGTTGTCAATGGAGCTGGCTCCTAAAAAATCATGCTGGCTGCTGGATTAGACAGACTGACTCCTGAATTCCTGATTACTTTGCCCACCCCTGATATATGTACCGTAGGTGGAAATGTAGTTTTGGGTTAGAGACTTCACTTTTGCATAGGCACATTGATGGGGCAGTGTGGCTTCATATGTATTTGCAAATGTTTGCCACAGAAACCTTTATTTTTAACCTGAAATGTTGAAACAGTATAGTTCCGTTTATATATAATATATATACTGTATGTATATATATATATAGGGGTGCACCGAAATTTCCCCTGCCGAAACATACCGAAATGCCGAAAGTGCCATCTTTCGGCTGAAATAACGGTCATCCCTGGTTTCTCTCCTCCCTGTTGGGCGCTGCTCTGTGTCCCAGCGGAGAGATACTGTCACAGGAGGCCAAGCGGTGCGGGGTAGGAGAGCGCTGTGAGCGGCCGGCATCTCTCTTCCCGCACTGCTTAGTCTCCTGTGATAGACTAGGAGAGCGGTGAGTGGGACAGCTGACAGCGGCGATGTGGGGGTGGAGACAGCTTTCAGCTGTCACAAGAGGCCGGGCCGGTGTCAGCTGTCAGAGGAGATCGAGCTCTCCTCTCCGCTCGCTCAGCCTCCTGTGACAGCGAGTCAGGATTGAGAGTGGGTACAAGCAGCGATCAGTGATCGCTGAGTGTTTATAAATAATTGAGGACATGGTATGTTTACTGTGTCCCCAATTATGAATGCAAGGGAAGTGATCTACATCACCTCCTGTTCATTCATGATTGTGGACATGGTAAACATACTATCTTCACAAGTTATGAATGAACAGGAACACTCAGTATAGAGGATTTCTGTTTATTTATATCAGGGGCTGCAGAAAAAGAGATTGAGGACTCTGTTCTCAGTCTCTCTTTCTATTTTAAAAGGGAAATATCAGGGGTCTGTTTAGACCCCTAATTTTTCCCCAAAGCCCCCAACAGTAAAGTAAAATAATACAAATGTTGAATCAATATAATTAAATAAAAATATAATAAAATGTACATGTTTATAAAAAATAAATCAAAATAAAATATTTGAAAAAATTTGGAAAGGTTTTTGTTTCACTTGCGGCCTAACATTTTTTCCTTTCGGCTTTGTTTCGATCTTGAAATCTTCATTTCGGTGCATCTCTCTCTCTCTCTCTTGTAATTTACTTATTTACTTGTAAATTTGAATTCATACTATAGTATTTTCTGAGGGCCCATTCAATGTCTTGGGGCTGCACAACCACAATGCAAGATAAGGCAATTTGCCTTCTTTCAGATGGGTTAAAAAAAGTACATGGGGGGATTCACCCTAACCCACCCAGCTCTGGCTCCGACTTTAGCCAGGATCCTGCCCAGCTGAGCGGGATGCCGGCTAGAGCGTTCCAGGTTGGTAAGAGCTGGGCAGTGAGATGTGTATGGCCCTTACACAACTCCCTGTCCGACTCTTATTAACCTGGGATGCTCTGGCTTTGAAGGGGACAGCAGCCACACTGCAAACATTTTGCAGCAGAGTAGCCCCCCCCCGTGACCCACATAGATCTCACCTGAGACAACAGCCTAAAGCTGCCTCATTATATGGTCCACCCTGAGTGCAATGAATTGCAATCAGCACATAAGCACTTTGCCAGGCAACACTCATCAGCAGCCTTATGGTGTAGCATGTTTGCTGTTGTGAATGGGCCCTTACTGTTAAAGGGAATAGATTGTTAAAGCCCAATTGTAGACTTTTTTTCAGACCTCTGTAGATCCGAACCACTGCTTTTTACACAGAGCATGCCATTGGGGAAGTGGAGGTTTAGAAGGCACTGCAGATGTAACAACAGAAAAAAAATCTTTTTTATTCAGCATGCTAACGTCATGTAGTCGTTTAAAAAAACAAAACATTTTTGGCTTTAAAGCAAGACTCTAGGCAAAACAAGAAATTAAAATCAAAATATAAAAAGATACATTCTCAGTGCATGTCTTCTTTTTTTTTTGACACCCTGTTTAAAAGTAAAAATAATGTTCCATAAATATTTTATCCTGCTGCAAAGAGAAAGCTTCTCTGGGAAAATACTCAGTCTGTGTAAATTCTGGACAATAGTAGACATTGGACATAATCTTTTATTAGAGGACATTTATCTGCCGTGAAGGGAATTAAAACATTCAGCAGGCAAGAATTACTTCACCTTACCATGAAAAACCTAGTTATTTCAAGCCCACACTAGGACTTGCAAAACTACACACCCTATATAGCCTACTCTATTGCTTGTGGCCTTGATTATTATTATATAGCATGTATATAGTGCCAACTGTTTGCGCAGTGCTTTACAAAATAAAGGGAGACAGTACAGTTATAAAAAAAAAACTCAATGCAATTGGGTTAAGAGGGCCAGACTCGTAAGAACTTACAATCTAAAAGGGAAGGGCAAGTGATACAAAAGTTAATAACTGTGAGGGATGAGCTGATGGAGAACATAAAAGTTCAGTTTTTAGGTGGTGGGATAAGCTTCCCTGAAGAGACGTATTTTCAGGGATCACCCAAGGGCAGTCAGAGTATGAGATAGCTGGACAGATTGGGGTATGGAATTCTAGAGGATGGGAGAGGCTCTGGAGAAATTCTGAAGGCGAATATGGGAGGAGGTGATGAGGACGATAGTGAGCAAGAGGTCTTGGGAAAAGAGAATATGACGGTTTGGGTGTTTTTTTGGGGGGACGAGGTTGCCGATGCAGTTGGGGACAGAGTTGTGGATGGTTTGGGGTTGTTGTTAGTATTTTTAATTATATGTGTTTGGTGAATGGAAGCCAGTGGATGGATTGACAGACGAGGACAGTTAGTAAGGTGGATAAGTCTGGTAGCAGGGTTTATGATAGACAGGATATCAGATAACCTGTGTAGGCCAATGAGTATGGAGTTGCACTAGTCAAGGTGAGAGATAACAAGGGAGTGAATTAATAGCTGTGTGGGGTTATTAGTTAAGAAGGGACGTATTTTGCTTTTTTTTGGCATGTTACGGGTGAAAGGCATTCTAGAAGTTTGGAGTTAAACAGGAGCAAGCAGATGGGTGGTAGGTTGTTCAGACTGGTGGGGTCCAGCAGGGGTGTTTGAATTATGGGGGTGACCAGTGAAGTTTTAGAGGGGTGGGAAGTTGCCAGTGGAGAGCGTGAGATATAAGGAGGTGGGCAGAGGGTTGAGGTAAAGGCTAGGGGGAGAGGAAAGTTAAGGGAGGAAGCAGGATAGAGAAAGTAAATGGGGAGGAAGGATTGGGGGATGGGAAGGATATAAGGAGGTGGGCAGAGGGTTGTGGTAAAGGCTAGGGGGAGAGGAAACTTAAGGGAGGAAGCAGGATAGAGAAAGTAAAGGGGAGGAAGGATTGGGGGATGGGAAGGATATAAGGAGGTGGGCAGAGGGTTGGGGTAAAGACTAGGGGGAGAGGAAAGTTATAGGAGGGAGCAGGATAGAGAAAGTAAAGGGGAGGAAGGAATGGGGATGGGAAGTATGTGAGGAGGTGGGCAGAGGGTTGGAGTAAAGGCTAGGGGGAGAGGAAAGTTAAGGGAAGGAGCAGGATAGAGGAAGGATTGGGGGATAGGAAGAATATGGGGAGGTGGGCAGAGGGTTGAGGTAAAAGCTAGGGAGAGAGGAAAATGATGGGAGGGAGCAGGATATAGAAAATAAGGGGGAGGAAGGAATGGAGATGGGAAGGATATGAGGAGGTGAGCAGAGGGTTGGCGTAAAGGCTAGGGGGAGAGGAAAGTGGAGCAGGATAGAGAATAAGGATGGAGGCATCAAAAGTGAAATACATATAAGAAATCCAAAGGCCTGTAAGGGAGAGCCCGTCTCGTACTCAGCCACAGTAGGCAGGAGACGTAGCCGCCTCTACGCGTTTCGAGGAAAACCCCCCACTTCCTGGAAACATAATTTTGCATGTTTGCAACACCAATTACATGTTGTTGACAGATTGTGAAGTTGCTCATCTGTATCCAGCAAATTGAACATCTCAGCGCAGCTGGAACTTACGTTATCTGTGCTTTTGTCAAGTACTTTTGTGAGTATATACTACTCACAAAAGTACTTGACAAAAGCACAGATAACGTAAGTTCCAGCTGCGCTGAGATGTTCAATTTGCTGGATACAGATGAGCAACTTCACAATTTTACTTTACTTTTTAATAAAGCTTTATTGAGGTCATCACACAATGCCAATGCGCATTTTCAATTTGTTCTATAGTGCCGCAAAAGTATGCCGGGATTTGCAAGGCCGTGGATATCATTTTTTTTTAAATGGGAAGGCTTGAATGAACTTTGGATGGAAGTAATCTATTTAGATTGTATCCTTTCAGCACTTAAGCGCTGGTATATATATATATTTCTATTCAGAATTGCCCATGTGCAGTCATCTTTCTTGCTATTAGTCATAATATCCTGCATGTAATGGATGCAATGCACAATCCACACTTGTACTGTGTCCTTGTCCTGTGCAGTGGCTGGCACACAGTGTACTGCTATTATTCTTATTATCCTGGGTGTCAGTAAAAAGCAGCTTTGTGCACCGTGCAATTGGGCCTCGCACATCATCTACATTTGTCTTTTGCTTTGGAGAACAATTCATCTTTTTTGGTGTTTTCTGGTCATAGTTTGGCTGTGCGCAGCGATCCTCTGCCATCACCCTGATCCTTCATGTGACTTCTTATCCTGCCTGCATTTATTTGTGCGGACCCCAGTATGGATGCCCATGCTGTTCCTGGCTGCACCTACCCGTCTCCTGTACACATACGGATCAGTGTCCCCGTCCTCTCTGGGTACCAACAATTATTGTAGCGATGATGGGGATGCGAGGCCCCGCCCCCTGAACGCCCCTCTCGCCAATTACCGAAGAGCGGTCCTTTCTTTCCACATCCCGC